CGACAGCGAGCAGCAAAGTTGACAAGCTCAGCAACTAAGGCAGACGCAGCAGTGGACTCAAAGGAAGGGTCAGTGACAACAGTAGCCAGGAGACGCGTGACAGTAGGACTGGCAGCACGAAGGGAGTCAGACTCCGGGTCAGCAAGGACTGGAAGAGAGGACTCTGGAGGAGACGGCAATGGGACACGCAGAGGAGCAGTGGAAGGACGCCATCTGGTATGTGCCTGGGACCGCAGGAGGACACGGACGCGGAGCACGACCACTAGTGCGAGCAGCACGAACAGGCGACGCAGGACGAGACGCAGGCTCACGACGCTCAGCAAGACCTCCAATAGGAACAGTGTAGGGAGAAGGAGCAGGCAGGGGGGAGGCGGGCTGTTACTGTGACCGCGACTGGACAGGCTGTGGACACTCTAAGGGAGGAGGAGGACCAGTAGAGGGCAGGAGACCAAGAACCTGCTCAAGGAGCGGAACGAAGTACGGCCGCGGCCGCGCAGCGCCTCCAGAACCAGCAGGGACAGCACCAGTACCCCCGGTGGCAGCACCAGCGCTAGAAGCACCTCCAGCTCCAACAGCGCCAACTCCAGCACTTTCAGACGCACCAGCGCCAGCAGAACCACCCCCGCCATCACCCCCAGCAGCTCCAGCTCCCGGAGCTCCAGCAGCACCAACTCCAGCAGGACTGTCAGCTCCAATACCGCCACCAGCTCCAGCAGTACCTCCAGCAGGGCTAACTCCAGCAGCCTTAGCAGCACCCCAAGTCCCAGCAGCTCCAGTACCGCTAGTACGAGCACCTCCGGGACCAGCAGCAACAGTAGTACCTCCAGCTTCAGCAGCACGGCTCCATCGCCGGGCAAACCACTCGCGCAGCTCCTGCGGAGAGAGTAGCTCCCGCCTCGACGAAGCACCGCGAGAGGCCACACGAGCAGACCCAGCACCCCCCAGCTCCGCACCCCCAGGCTCAGCACCCCCAGGCTCAGCACCCCCAGCCCTAGCACCCCCAGGCTGAGCACCTCCAGGCACAGCACCCCCAGACTCAGCACCCCCAAGCTCAGCACCCCCAGACTCAGCACCCCCAAGCTCGGCACTCGCAGGCTCAGCACCTCTAGCAGCACCAGAGTCAACAGCTACCTTGACAGGCTCGACTGCATCTACCTGGGACACACCTGGCGGGGCAGGACTATGAGGGGGGAGGGGGTCTACCGGGGGAGGACCTGGCGCAAGGAAGAGCGGCGGCGGGGGGAGGGGCGCAGCGCGGTAGGGGAAGAGACGGTAGTAAGGCACCGACTCGTCAAAGGTGACGTCCTGGGAGGACAGAAGACGGCGCGACGTGGGGTGGTAAAACTGCCAACCAGGCGTGTCAGGGGGGAAGCTAAGGAAGACGCAGGGAACAGCACGGGGGGACAGCTTGTCCGCAGACAAGTCGTGGACAAACGCCCGAGATCCTCAGACCCGAAACGTAGACGCATCGCCAACCTTCCCCGTCCACCGCAAGGTGGGGGAGGTCTCTGGCAAGGAGACCCGGGGCTGAAGGTTGAGCTGATGCGCTGCGTACTGAACCGCAAACGGCCACAGAAAATGGGGGGCAGCCGCATGGATCATGGACGTACGAGCGACGTCCATGACCATGCTAATGCGGCGCTCAGCAATCCCATCTTAATGTGAAGAGGCCGGAAGCGTGAAGGTATGGCGGATGCCCTGTGCATGACAGAAGGCTCCCAAACGGGCAGAGGAATACTCCCCGCCTCTGTCAGAGTGCAGACGTAGAACAGGAAAGTCCGGGCCGAAACTCTCTCTGAGCTGGAGACGAGCTGCACGGATCCAGTCGATCAACACCTCAGTGACGTCACCCTTGCTGCGCAAGGGGAACACCATGGTGTAACGCAAGTAGTCGTCAACCACCAACAGGAAGTAACGCTCGTGACCCTAGCCACGGACGCGGGCCGGGCCCCACACGTCCATGTGAAGAGTCTGCAGTGGAGCCTCTGTCGAAGGAAACTTGGAGGAGTGAGGGGCGGCGCGCTGCCGCCCCTCGACGCAGGGAACGCAGGTAGGGGCAGGCCCTAGAGGGAGGGGAGGGAGGGGCCGGAGGAGACCAGAGACAAGGACACGGGAGGCCATGCCTCGGAGACGAGGCAGGGAGGGGTGACCAAGGCGGTGGTGCCAAAGGAGAGTCTGGTGGGACAGGAGATGACACGAGCAGGGAGCAGACTAAGGACCAGACCTGGACGCTGCAGCAAACACCTGACTCGACACAGCTACCTGACCAGACTCAGTAACCGGAGGAGACTCAGTAGTCAGTGTGTACAGGCTCGACCCCAGCCGACTGGTGTTACTGCGCAGGTTAGCTCGGCATGTGAACCGCCCACACGGGTTCATGCTGGGCTGCAGGTCACCGTCACCCTTGAAGCTCCTCTGGCCGCACGGGTCCTTGGGAACTGGAGGGTGGTACAGACAAGAACAAGAGAAAACGGGTGCAAATACAGCTTCATTGAAAAAGACATCGTGCAGGAATGAGCAAGGTCAGCCAAGTGAGAGGTGTAAGGTGTGGAAACCGTGAGTTGGAAATTCACCATCTTACGAACGTGGTCAGCACTGGCTCACACGCTCTTCTCTTTGTTGACCATGTCTCCACTCCACCGTACTACATGACTGTGATTTACATCTTGTTCTGTGCCTTTCACACTGGACCAGTGACTATTGACCCTATGATGTGATGTTCTTGAATTGAAGGGATGAGGAAATAGAGATACGACGGGGGAAGTTTCTTCACTCAGCGGTGGGTGCCTCACTCTTGACAATGGGCTAAATGCCAGGCAGTACGTTTATGCCACACACGCCATCACCTCCCTGAATGTCCATATGCATGTGGCCCCTGTCACCCCACTCCACTCCCCAAGAATTGCGGATAATCCAGAATGGAGGCGCAATGCGATTTTGGCTGCCATCATTTCTGAAGATAAAGTAGCCAACAACGAGTACAGCGTGGTTCAGTCTGCCGGTGTAGCAGCCAAGGTCTGAAGCGATAGGGGGACATCACAACAAAAATGGGAATGGGTGTTAAAAAATGTACAGATTGATGTGGGTAACCACTGTTCTAAAACAAATTTCAACGTATGCACATCATACAGGGTCCATACAGGCACCACCTGTGAAGAAATGAGGAATGAATGAACTAGCAAGCAAGTGGGTACAAGTAGGAAAACCTAAAAGTGTTGTACCCCATATTGTCTACCCCACTACAGCCTACATAGAATATAGCATATGAGTTTGACACACCCCCATAGGAAAAGTGGGGGAGAAAAAGAGGTCACAAGACCAGTCAAGCAAAGCAAAGCAAGCTCAGGGTGGATCACAACGTCACCACACATTCCGAGCACAAGTTCAAGGCCACAAGGCCAGTTCACATGCAAGATCATATATAAAGGTAAACAAGCAAGTGCAGGTATAGAAAGATCACAGTACAAGCAAGGTCAAGAAGTGAGCAAGTGAGGCCAAGTAGGCACAAGACCTAGCATCGTACAGAAGCGCTGATGATCACAAGGCGGAAGTGCCTTGGTAAAGATATCAGCACTGTTGGCCTCAGAGGCCACGTAAGCAAGGCGCAGCTGACCACGCTGCTGCAGCTCACGAGCAAGGAAGTAGCGAAGAGCAATGTGCTTTGTTCTGTGCTCCAGTCTGTGCTCCCGACACAAGGCCAGCATGGCCTTGTTGTCTACGTACAGAACTGGAGGAGAACGAGGCGGCTCTCCTAGGTCAGTTAGCAGGTAGGTGAGCCAGCGTAGCTCCTGTGCAGCCATGGACCTCGCGTAGATCTCAGCCTCACAGCTGGAGCCGAGAACAAAAGACGAGCGGGTAGACCGCCACGAAACAGAGCTGGAGCCAAGGCTGAAGGTGTAACCCTGTGACGACCACTACGTAGCCTGGTCGTCAGCCCAAGAAGCGTCTACATGCCCAGTGAGGACCACTAGACTGCGCCCTCCAAGCACTAGCCCCATGCCCAACGTACTGCACAAGTAGCGCAACACCCTCTTCGCTGCAGCCATGTGCTCTGGTCGGTGTCTCCCAGGAGCAACATAGCGTGCCAAGATGCTAAGAGGGTATGCAAGGTCAGGTCGTGTGCAGGTCATCAGGTACATGAGGCAGCCAACAAGCTCTGGGTACGGGCCAGTCGGCTCTACGGACTCATCCGAAGGCAGAGCTGAGAGCGAGTGGCGAGTAGACAGAGGAGTGGCCTGAGGCGAGGAGTACGTGAAGTCGAAGCGCTGAAGGACCTGCTGCACCATGTGTGACTGAGTCAGGGTAATGGTGCGCAGTGCTCTATCCCGGGTGATCTGCAAGCTAAGGTAGCTGCGCAGTTCACCCAGGTCTGTGCACGTGTGTCTCTTCTGCAGCTCGGACTTCACGTGGGCGAGTCCAGCAGTGTCAGCAGTGGCAAAGGCCAAGTCGTTGACGTACACGAGGATGTAGAACGACGGCAAAGAGGTGTCGGTGCGCAGAAACAGCGACGGGTTGGCACTAGAAGGAGCAAACCCAAGAGCCGCAAGTGTAGTCCTCAGTGTGTCGTGCCACTCACGGGGCGCCTGGCGGAGACCGTAGACTGGCCGCCGGAGGCTCCACTGGGTACCAGGAGGGAACGACCCTGTGAAGCCAGGTGGGCGGCGCAGCCAGATCTCCTCGTGCAGGCTGCCTTGCAGGAAAGCTGTGCTGAAGTCAAGAGAGTGAAGCTCGTAGTCGCGCTGAGCGGCTATGTGCAGCAGCACCCGAAGAGTGGTCATCTTTGGGGTGGAAGAGAAGGTCTAAAAGTAGTCAACTCCCTGCCACCGAGTGAAGCCTCGAGCCACGTAACCCGCATTGAAGACAGGCGGAGAACCTGACAGCCGCTTCACCCCGAAAATCCACATGCCACTGACGATGTTCGCCCCAGGTGGGGGAACCTCGTCGACGTAAGTGCCTGTGGACTTCCAGGAAGCCATCTTTGCGTCCATGGCTGACTGCCACTATGAGGAGTAGGGACCCTCGATCGCCTCAGCGTACGATCGAGGAGTCGGGATGTCTGGTGCATCCGGGTCTCCCTCAGGGGCAATCAGCGTGGACACGAGATGAGGCAAAGCAGCAGCAAAACATCGGAACTCCTCCTGCCTATCCTCAAGGACGTCCGTGCTAAGAGCACACTCACCCCCGACGGACGGAGGACAGACAGACGCAGACTCAGCAACAAGACTAGCGGCGTAGTCTAGACGACAGCGAGCAGCAAAGTCGACAAGCTCAGCAACAAAGGCAGACGCAGCAGTGGACTCAAAACAAGGGTCAGTGACAAAGGTAGTAAGGAGACGCGTGACAGTAGGCTGGCAGCACGAAGAGAGTCAGACTCCGGGTCAGCAAGAACAGGAAGAGAGGACTCTGGAGGAGACGGCAACGGGACACACAGAGGAGCAATGGAAGGACGCAGTGCCATCTGGTTTGTGCCTGGGACCGCAGGAGGACGTGGACGCGGAGCACGACCACTAGTGCGAGCAGCACGAACAGGTGACGCAGGACGAGACGCAGGCTCACGACGCTCAGCAAGACCTCCAGTAGGACCAGTGTAGGGAGAAGGAGCAGGTAGGGGGGAGGCGGGCTGTAACTGTGACCGCGACTGGACAGGCTGTGGACACTCTAAGGGAGGAGCAGGACCAGTAGAAGGCGGGAGACCAAGAACCTGCTCAAGGAGCGGAATGAAGTACGGCCGCGGCCGCGCAGCGCCTCTAGAACCAGCAGGGACAGCACCAGCACCCCCAGCGGCAGTACCAGTGCCAGCAGCACCTCAAGCTCCAACAGCGCCAACTCCAGCACCTTCAGAAGCACCCGCTCCAGCAGCACCTCCAGCGCCAACACCCCCAGCAGCTCCAGCTCCAGCAACTCCAGCTCCAGCAGCTCCAGTAGCACCAACTCCAGTAGGACCGCCCGCTCCAGCACCGCCAGCAGGGCCAGCACCAGGAGCACCTCCAGGCCCAGTAGCTCCAGTACCTCCAGTACCTCCAGCAGCACCAGCAGCACCCCCAGTCCCAACAGCCTCAGTACCGCAAGTACGAGAACCTCCACGACCAGTGCCTCAGTAACTCCAGAGCCGACCCCAGGGTCAGCAGCAACAGTAGTACCTCGAGCTCCAGCAACACGGCTCCAGCGCCGGGCAAACCACGCGCGCAGCTCCTGTGGGGAGGGTAGCTCCCGCCTCGACAAAGCACCCAAAGGGTCCCCAAACCCATTACCGCCAGAGGCCAGACGAGCAGACCCAGCACCCCCACGTTGCGCACCACCAAGCTCAGCACCCCCAGGCTCCGTATCCCCAGGCTCCGCACCCCCAGGCTCAGCACCCCCAGGCTCCGTACCCCCAGGCTCCGCACCCCCAGGCCCAGCACCCCTTGACCCAGCACCCCCAGGCTCAGCACCCCCAGACTCAGCACCCCCACGCTCAGTACCCCTAGCAGAACCAGAGTCAACAGCTACCTAAACAGGCTTGACTGCGTCTACTTGGGACACACCTGACGGGGCAGGACCCTGAGGGGGGACGGGGTCTACCGGGGAGGGACACGGCGCAAGGAAGAGCGGCGGCGGGGGGAGGGGTGCATTGCGGTAGGGGAAGAGACGGTAGTAAGGAACCGACTCGTCAAACGTGACGTCCTGGGAGGACAGAACACAGCGCGAAGTGGGGTGGTAAAACTGCCAACCAGGCGCGTCAGGGGGGAAGCCAAGGAAGACGCAAGGAACTGCACCGGGGGAACAGCTTGTCCGCAGACAAGTCGCGGACAAACGCCCGAGATCCCCAGACCCGAAACGCAGACGCATCGCCAACCTTCCCGGTCCACCGCAAGGTGGGGGGGGTCTCTGGCAAAGAGACCCGGGGCTGAAGGTTGATCTGATGCGCTGCGTACTGAACCGCAAATGGCTAAAGCAAATGGGGAGCAGCCACATGGATCATGGACGTACGAGCGACGTCCATGACCATGCCAATGCGGCGCTCAGCAATCCCATTTTGCTGTGGAGAGGCCGGAAGCGTGAAGGTCTGGCAGACGCCCTGTGCACGACAGAAGGCTCCCAAAAGGGCAGAGGAAAACTCCCCGCCTTTGTCAGAGTGCAGACGCAGAACAGGAAAGTACGAGCCGAAACTCTCTCGGAGCTGGAGACGAGCTGCGCGGATCCAGTCGATCAACACCTCAGTGACGTCACCCTTACTGCGCAAGGGGAACACCGTGGTGTAACGCGAGTAGTCGTCAACCACCAACAGGAAGTAACGCTCGTGACCCTGGCCATGGACGCGGGCAGGGCCCCACACGTCCATGTGAAGAGTCTGCAGCGGAGCCTCTGTCGGAGGAAACTCGGAGGAGTGAGGGGCGGCGCGCTGCCGCCCCTCGATGCAGGGAACGCAGGTAGGGGCAGGCCCTGGAGGGAGGGGAGGGAGGGACCGGGGGAGATCAGAGACAAGGACATGGGAGGCCATGCCTTGGAGATGAGGTAGGGAGGGGTGACCAAGGCGGTGGTGCCAGAGGAGAGTCTGGTGGGACAGGAGACGACACGAGCAGGGAGCAGACTCAGGACCAGACCTGCACGCTGCAATAAACACCTGACTCGACGAAGCTACCTGACCAGACTCAGCAACCAGAGGAGACTCAGTAGTCAGTGTGTACAGGCTCGACCCCGGCCGACGGGTAAACGTGGCCAAGTGTCGGCCCATCCGAGCACACGTACAGTGGGTCACCCGCTGACTCGCATGAGTGAACTGGTCAACCTCCCCATCCTGTAGATCAGCACCACTCACCAAGTTCGTAGAGAACGAGGGGAGGTAGAGACCTGACAGGGTGCAAGAGGGGGCCGCCATACACGGTAAGACAGTGGAGAAGTGGGCAAGGACAGGACCCCCAGAGGGGTCCGCCAGGGAGACCGCAACCGGCCGACTAAGCGGCGTAAGCGTGGTGCGGTCTCGAAAATAGGAGCGGGAAGCACCCGAGTCAAGGGTGAAGGTGTGTAAGGCCTGAGCCGACGTGGTACGTGAGAGAGCAGGCTCACCAGCACCGGGGGCAGTAGACGCACTAGCACCTAGAGCAGCAGCCTCACCAGCACCTAGAGCAGCAGCCTCAATGCCCGGGTCAGGCGAAACACACAGGTAACAGTCACCCTCATCACTAGTAGACACAACATACATGGCAGCAAGAATAGCATCATAATCCAGATCAAAGATAGCTATCCCCGACCTAAGCAGCTCTCCCCAGCGGGGGATCTCAGCGGCGTCAGGGATCTGGAGACGCCAAGCGTCCGTCAGGCGGCCGAAGCAGCGCTGGGTGGTGTGCGAGCCACCGCACGGCTCACTTGTGCGGTCGCGGGTACGCAGGACGTAGGCACAAGGACCAGCATGCCCACCCCGCTGACGCGCAGAGTACCACTCACGAAGCTGCTGGGGGGGCGGGGTCTCACGAGTGCGCTGCTGCTGCTCGCGCTGACCACCACTGAAGCCGCCCCGCTGCGCAAAGCCACCCGGACTAGCTCCACCTCCTCTGCCGCCACCTCCGCCACCGCCGCCACCGCCTCCTCCTCCGCTCCCACTGCCACCGCCGCCGCCGCCTCCGCCTCCACCGCCGCCACCGAAGCCCCCACCCCCGCCACCACTCACACTACCACCCCCACTCCCTCCGCCTCCTCCACCGCCACCTCCACCGCCCCCACCAGCCCCTCCAGCGCCCTTGCCCCCCTTGCCCTAGCCGGTGCGGCGTCACCCGCTAGGGGCAGACGCTGCGCCGACCGACTCGGTGCCAACGAAGTCGACGGCAGCAGCAGAGGCAACAGAGGGCAAAAGGGGGGAGGGGGAGCACCCCTCAAAGACGGGGGCACGAGGGTCACCACGAGAGGCTCCTACACCGACTATACTTTTCTCAGCTGCCAGGAGGCGCTCCTCGAGGAGGTCAACGGTGAGTTTGGTGGGGCAAACAGAGAGGAAGTGTTCCCTGACCGAGCGAAGGGAGTCAAGGAGGCGGGTGACTATGTAGTAGAGGGTGATGTACATGGGGGGGGGGGGTTCTTGGCGCAGAACTCAGCAGGAAGCGCAGCGCGGTAGCGGGTGTCACTAGTGCGAAGGTGCGTATTGAGGACAACGACAGTGGGAAAGGTGGCAAGGTCAGGAAACAGGTACGGCAGCATGAGGCGGCTAAGGGCTGCAGTGGCAGGGGAAGAGTAGCGTGCAACTACAGCATCGTACAAGGTCTTAGCACTCTTGTACTGACTAAAGTGCGCGCGCTCAGTGGACGGCAAGTGACTACGCACAGCAAGACGGGCAGCAGCATCGCGTGTGGCCCACTGTGAGCGAACAGTGCTATCAGCATCGGCAGCAGGGGCAGTAGAGGCGCCAGACGTGAGATCGAACAGGGATACACCGTCCTTCCTATCACAGTGTAGGAAAAGCTGTAGATCATCGACCCAGACCTCAAAGTCAACAGCCCGACCCTCAGCATCAAAGACTAGAACACTAGGGGTAGCCATGAAAGCAGTGGCAGCAGGCTAGGGGCAGTAGTAGCAGGCGTGGTATGTAGTGCTCGGCACTGCTCTCACCAGGGCTGGTAGGTAGGGGCCGGCAAGCGGTGGGGCAGGGCCGAGGCGCGTCAGCAGGGACAGAGCCGCGACCGTGGTGGCAGCTCCTGCTGTCAGTGGCGGCGGCAGTCGCTGCTGCTGGTGGTGGTCGCCGCTGTGGCCGGATGCTGCTGGCGGCGGCGGCGGCTGCTGCTGGTGGCGGAGGAGCCGAGGAGGGGCCGGGAAGCGGCCAGGAAGGGTGGCGACGGGGCCACGAAGGGCGGCAATGGGGCCGAGAAGAGGCCGCGAGGGGCCGTGAAGGGCGGCGACGGGGCCGCTAGGGGCGGCGACGGGGCCGATAGGGGCGGCGACGGGGTCGATAGGGGCGGCGACGGGGCCGATAGGGGCAGCGACGCAGCCGCGAAGGGCAGCGACGGGGCCGCTAGAGGCGGCGACGGGGCCGCGAAGGGTGGCAACGGGGCCGATAGGGGCGGCAACGGGGCCGCGAAGGGTGGCGACGGGGCCGCTGGGGGCGGCGACGGGGCCGCGAAGGGGCCGCGAGGGGCCTAGAAGGGCGGCGACGGGGCCGCGAAGGACAGCGACGGGGCCATAACGAGCGGGGACGGGATCGCGAGGGGCCGTGAGAGGGGCCTCTAGAAGGGCGCGACGGGCCACTAAGGGCAGGGGACGCGACGAGAGGGCGGCCCACGGGGCGCGCCTCGGGCAGGGGCGACTCGCGCTCCGGTCAGAAAAAAATATTTTCGGTTTTCAGTGGTGGGCCCTGGGAAGCGTTCTCATTAGGGAACCTGCTCTATACCATGTGAAGAAATGAGGAATGAATGAACTAGCAAGCAGGTGGGTACAAGTAGGAAAACCTAAAAATGTTGTACCCCATATTATCTACCCCACTACAGCCTACACAGACTATAGCATATGAGTTTGACACCACCCACCCCGTCATATTGCGCGAATTCCCGAGCAGATGCCTCTATGTGATCCACCACTGGCTGTCGTCGAACTGCCAGCATGAGCCCCACAAACCCCTTGAACCGAGTGCGCTCAAAGCTGTGAACAGAGTACTTCTTATTTTGAATGTCGATAAATCAAAGGAAATTTCACATGTTCGAAGGAAGAGAAATGAACACAATGAGATAACCCAATCAAATGTAGAAAATGGTTTGCTTGCTCAATATGCATGCAACAAGTAAAGACTAACCTGGTTAACCTTGCCAATTCTAGCAAGCAGTACTAACCAGATCTTTACAACATACATTATATACTCATGTAACTTGAATCGTGTCAAAGATGGGCTCTAAGTTGTAAAACGAAAGAGCAAGAGTCACATTTTTGCAGATATATTGCAAATAATGTTCAATACTGTAATTCAAATATGCATTTAACACACGAAGATTTCACCTTTTCCGGTTTAAATCAATTTTATTCACCATACCTCTAATCGTCATAGTTCTAATCATTTCTCACAGAATGGTATATATCCTCAGCCACGTGCTATGTTGGAATATACGCGACTGGCGTACCAGTCGCGTTCGTACTATACGCCAATGTACGTAAGTCATACGATGGAGTTCTGCCCCCTCGATACGCTCAAAATACGGTGTCCCGGGCAGGAGAAAACAAGTTTCGGGCAGGGGAAAAAGTATCAGGGAGTGAGTGATGTTTGCCGATCTGCGCAATTCTGCTAGCGGAACACTAGAATCGCGCCGATCTACTAGCGGAACACTAGAATCGCGCCGATCTGCTAGCGGAACACTAGAATTCTGTGGATCTGCTAGAGAAATACTACAATCGCGCAGATCTGGTGGCAGAATGCCAGATCTGCGCCCATCTGGCTACTTGCGTCCGGCTGCGACATTAGCAGTCGACATAGGTTTTCGAAGCTGCCGACGTGAAACCCAAAGTGTGGTTGGAAGGGAAGGGTTGGGTTTGGGAGGTGGTGTGAGGTTATGTGCGGTGGAAAGGGGGGGAGGGTGCAGGGGAGAAGGCATTCGACATTCAAAAGTCAAAATTTGGTTACAGAGAATCGCAGACCTCAGAACGGTCGCAACAAATTTTTGTTTTTTCGACGGGCTGCCCGTCCAGACGTACCGCGTATTTGTCCCCGTATCATGTTTTTCCGTTTATACGTGAACGCATAAACGTGATACGAAAAAGGGCCTATGTGTTTTTGGCAACATAGCCCACGTGTTCCAATGTGTCGATCATTCGAGTATTTTGGCAAGAATGCTTGATGAACAGATTGTGAAGAATGAGGAATGAATGAACTAGGAAAGAGGTGGGTACAAGTAGGAAAACCTAGAAATGTTGTACCCCATATAGCCTACCCCACTACAGCCTACACAGACTATAGCATATGAGTTTGACACACCCCCATAGGCAAAGTGGGGGAGAACAAGAGGTCACAAGACCAGTCAAGCAAAGCAAAGCAAGCTC